TCCTGATCTGTCTCCATGCACAACCTACCGTCATCTCAGCCAAGCTCCATGCAGTGTGGCGGGAGCACCGTCTGTGCCGCCATCTGTCAAGCTCCATGCAGTGTGGTGGGAGCACTGTACATTTTCTCAGTCACTCTCACTCCGCTGCAGAGTTAACCAGGAAGCTGAGTTCCAGGGGTAGAGCATCAGTGGTGCGAGGTCTTCAAGGCTCACAGAAAGCTTCCTAGAGTGATATTTTGTTCACGATCTAACAAAGCTTGCTTGAGGATCAGAGTGCAAAGCTAGCCACACCAGTCAGTTGTACAGATCAGGCAGTGGTGGCACACACCTTTAACCCCAGCAGCCACACTAGTTAGCAATAGGGGCTGGGTGGTGGTGGAGCACGCCTTTAATCCCAGCACTAGAGAGGAATATAAGGTGGGATGAGACAGGAACTCACTCTTTTCAGTCTGAAGATTTTGTAGAGGTAAGAGCTCTCTAGTGGTTGGTTGCTTTGCTTCTCTTGTCTTTCAGCTTGAACCCCAATATCTGTCTCTGGGATTTTATTAGACTGCATGCTGCAGTTTCCAGTAAAGGCTGGGGACTGCCTTCATACCTGAACACAGAGGTGGTCGGGTCCAGAGAGGGTGAACTCTTGGGTGCCGTGGCTCTGCATTACAGACCATGCCTGAGGGCCATTAGAATTCAGCTTGCACAGTGGCAGAAAATTGGTTCTAACCTGAGCCTTGACATGAAGGAAGACTGTCAATGCCAAGGTGAACATGAATGGGGAGGGCAGGTAAAATACAGCAACACAGCCAGCCCAGGCAAGGCCACAGCAACTCAAGGTTATGCTAGGTCCAGGAACCAGTGCAGCTAGAGGGAGAGGCAGGAAACTGTACTATTAGAGCTCAGATCCCAGGTCAGAAAGACCAAAGCCCCAGGCCACCATGGAGGGGAGAAGGGAAGGGAGAGAAGGTAAATACTTGCTGGCGATCCTCACCTCCAGAGAGCTGCTATTTGGTTTTAGAAACTGCATAGTGAGCAGGAGCTGTAGGTGGGAAAGGAAAAGGGCCTGGGAGGTGGCTCGTGTGTGTGTGTGTGTGTGTGTGTGTGTAAGCCAAAAATGTGAGCCTATTTCCACGTTGACCCAAGGTCAGTGAGTTGGAACTTACCACTAGTCCTAAGTCACCTGTTTCTACCTCAAAGGCCCCACCCATATTTAGCTCAGAGCTCTGCTCTCAAGGTTATTGTCAACAGGTGTGGCTAATAGCCAGCCCTTGTATTTCAAGAATAGAGAAGTAGGTGTGTTTTTACCTCAAACAAAGTCTAAGGATCCAACTAAGGGTCCAGTTCCTTTATGGAGATAGCACTGATTTCCCCCCAGGGAGTGGTTTGCCGACACATAATGTTTTTGGTCTAGGGTTTGAGCATGACTTGTTTTGTTCTAACAACAGAATGTTTAACTACTGGTCTGTTCATTTCCTTGCATCATGTTAAGGCAGTTTTTTTTTTCTTCTACCTTTTGTGGTCAGGGTTATTTTAAGCAACTGGAAATTAAACGCGGGCGAATTTCAGTACTCACTGGAACGCCCTCCCAATACTATTCTATGTTTCTCTGTTTTACTATTTTCATCCGTGTCTTCATACTCTTTACTGTATTTCTAAATCCCCGCGCCTCTGCCCTGGCGAGAGGGGTTTTTGTCAAGGCTGCTCCCCAACACACATGCTTCAGTGAGACCAGACTGGGGTCAGAGGAAGACTGAGGGTTAAAATGGCAACATCTAGAGGCAACACGGAGGAAGATGGATGTGGTTGCTTGTAGCCAGATATGAGATAACCAAGCTAACCAGGAGATGAGGACAGAGTCTGGACCAATGACAGCAGGCAGGCTGTCCCCCTGCCCAAAGCCCTGAGGCATTACTGTCCTTCCATATGTCCTTATTTCTGAAGCAACTAAGCAATAGAGCAAGCAGTAGGACTTTCATCTAGGAGAGAACGCCACAGACAGGAGCTAGATGTGGGGTACCTGGAGTGGCGACAGAGAAGCTCCGGGTGGGTGGACAGTGGGAACACAGCCTTAACCAGCAGCCAGCAGACACCGGCAAGGTGGGGGAGGGCAGAGTGGAAGGGCCCAGCCGCAGACACTGGGGTCAGCACTTACCAAGGCACGAAGATGGGGAGCACGGGGCCTCCATAGAGGCCCAGGGAGTAACCAGTCTCACAAGTAATCACCTCAGCTTTTGTCTAGTTTTTGCCATGGTCACATCCCCCAGACAAGGAAGTTAATGGTTGTTTTTTTCCTTAGAAACCGCTCTCTGGAGAGTTTCTCTCATTTTTACTTTCTCCTTAGTAAAGCTTGCCTCCATCATTGCTGACTATGTCTGTGCCAAGAAAGGTCCTTCCCACTCATACCCCTGCTCCACAGGGTCTAGCACAGCAACAGTAATGGTTAACATGTCCAGAGTCCTTCCAGCTCATAAAACATGTGCAACACGGATGCTTCATTGAATCACTGAGAGATTAATTCTAATAAGTGAAACCAAGCTCCCAATTGAGATGGCAGAAACTAAGATTATCTTGGGTCTCCTTATCCACTCCCTTCATGCCAGCATGGACTCAGACGTCTGATGAGGCCCTTCCTGCTTCCTGTTTCTTAAGAGGGGCAAGTCTACAGGAACAAACCTCAATCCACACAGCTGCCACAAAGGTAGGCAGGCAGTCTGGGAGCCTCCGAGGTGTTGCCTGTGGAAGTAGATCTGCCCGGCAGGACTACAGTGTGAAGCCCGACTTGAGACTGCTCAACCTCGCCGCAGGCCCAGACACCCACGTTGTTCTGGTAGCAAGACTTTCTAAGGTGTAAGCTATACCCACAAACCATCTTGCTGGGATCTAACCCAGGCACAGTCTGATCTCCACTCAGTGACAGTTTTCCATGTCACTACCTCAGTGTGTGTGTGTGGGGGGGGCGCTCTGGCCAAGTTTCTCAACTATTCTTGTCATCTTGGCCTTTTTGTAAATAGAATTCTTTGAATTCACCTTTAAGTTCACAAGGTCACATGTCTTGTCGATCCACCTTCCGCACTCAATCCTAGTCCAATGACTTAAAATCCAAATTCACATGCGAGCCAGTCACAGTGATAAACATATGCAGCCCCTAAAACCTGAGAAGGGCAAGACTGTTGGGGCCTTCCCCAGGCAACACGGCAGGAACCCATGTAAAAGAAACAAAACCCCCACAGGCTCAGCAGTTAAGAGCTCGTCCTGAGGACCTACGTTCAAGACCCAGCATCTATATGGTGGCGGATACCCATCTATAACTCTAGACCCAGGGGATTCAATGTCACCTTCTGGCTTCTGTGGGTACTATACACATTTGGTACACAGACATATACACAGGCAAAATACCCATATGCATAAAACAAATAAAGGAAAAAATTATTTTTTGAGACAGGGTTTCTCTTTGTAGACCAGGCTGGCCTCAAACTCACTGAGATCCTCCTGCCTCTGCCTCCCGAGTGCTGGGTTACAGGCGTGTGCCACCACGACCGCCAGGAAAATTTTTTTTTTTTGAGACAAGGTTTCTCTGTAGCTTTGGTGCCTGTCCTGGAACTAGCTCTTGTAGACCAGGCTGGCCTCGAACTCACAGAGATCCACCTGCCTCTGCCTCCCGAGTGCTGGGATTAAAGGCGTGCACCACCACCGCCCGGCAGGAAAAAAATTTTTAAATTCAATCATTCTGGGGGCTGGAGAGATGGCTCAGTGGTTAAGAGCATTGCCTGCTGTTCCAAAGGTCTTGAGTTCAATTCCCGGCAACCACATGGTGGCTCACAACCATCTGTAATGAGGTCTGGTGCCCTCTTCTGGCCTGCAGGCAAACACACAGACAGAATATTGTATGCATAATATATAAATAAATATTTTTTTAAAAAAAATTCAATCATTCTTTCACAGCAATGTGATTTAGGCAGAAAAAAAATGTCATCTCAAACCTAAGTAGCTGGATAGGTTTGAGTTCACCTGCTTAGGCTAAACTATCCTCTGCACTTTGTCTTCCCACTAATACATCCCTAGGACAGAGCAGGGGCCGAGCAGCATGGCCTATTAGTGCACACAGACAGAGAACCAAGGGGACCACTTTCTAGTCCAGTGCCCAGAGCTGGGGCTGGGCATCTCTCCAGGACAGCCGCTTAGCTCTCCTGACTCTTCCCTATCTACAGCAGGTCCAAAGGCCCTGGAGATGCTCTGCTTCTTGGGCCAGCAGGGGCGCCAGGGCTGTAAAAGGCATCTCCATGTGAAGGCAATTTCAGGTAAACTGGTGTTTAGAGAAGCTCCTCTCTTTTGGAGCTTTCAGACAACACACAAGGACACGAATCTTTCCAGAGTGTGAGTGCCATGTGGCTACCTCCCAACCCAAACACTCCCTTCTGGGGGGGGAGAAACTTAGAAAGCTACAAGGCTGGTGCAACTCCCCTCCCCAAGGTTAGACAGAAAAATACAGTTGCCAGAAGGAGAGTCTTCAGTAGAGCTGCTCCAAGCTGACTTGGAAGCCCCAGGGATGCTGGATGCAGTCTTGTGTGCTGGTGTGGGCTCCTGTAAACAGCTCCAATAAACTCACTAGTTCACTAAACGAGACCTGAATGTTTTGGTCTTTTGTTGGTATCCTAGCCCAAGTGAATGACATTATTTGTCTCCCATGATAACGAGAGGCAAAGAAAACACAAGGATAAATATCAGTGTAGAGAGGGCCTTGTCTAGTGGTCAGGTTTCTTTGAAAATCAGCCTGTGTGGCTCTGGGAAGCCATTTCAGACACGCAGAGGTGAATACCAGCAGCTTGAGCAGCTGTGGGTGCACAGCTCCAGTAAGGAGATGGACTGAGGAGAGGGAGAGGAACATCTGCACCGTGAATCACTGCTGCTGCAACACGAGGGCAAGAGAGCTGCTCATGTAAAGCAAACAGCACAGCACTGTTACAAATCAAAGTCCTGTGAGCGTTAAAGAACAAAACAACACTGTAAAATACAGGTTACCACTGGTCAACATTTTAATTCACTTTAAACCAAAGAAACATTATTATATGCAGAACCTGTCATTTTACACATTAAAGTTTATCAGGTTAACAATACCTAAGCAAGGAATACCTGGAAACAACTTCCTCCTTGCTGAACCTCACATTATCAGAGTGACTCAATACCTTTCTGTAGTACTGACCACAAAGCTGCCGTTCGGCTTTTTCTCTCCACCCTCTCCAGAATCACCAAAAGGTCAGTCACTGGGTAATAGAAAGTGACGATTTCGTACTTGACTGTTGGAAAGTCTTCCTCAAATAGAGAAAGCCACATCCTGCCATGCTGGTGGGTCAGCTCCCTCACTTGCAGTGCCTACCAAATAGTAAAATCACACGTTTGATTCGGACTCCAGAGGCCCACCAGCTCTAGAGCTTCTACAAGGCATTAAAGAGACAGCACAGGGTGAGACAGTCTCTAACAGCAGTCAGACAGCACTGTTTCTAAGGGTAAAGCGTGAAGAACAGACAGCACCATGTCAGGGCAGACAGCGGACAGAAATACACAGGGGCTTCCAGGCCACCCGGCCCACTTTCTGTCCTACTTCCTCTTGATGTTTATAGTTCAGTTTCACTTAGCTTTAAAGAGCCAGACTCTACTGTCAGAGCCCGAAGCTTTACTACGTTCTCACTTCCTCTGCACTACAGCTGAGAAATGTCACTGCTCTACTTAGAAATCATGGAATGGAAAGTGGCATTGGTACAGACCACAGCTTCTGCTCACTCACTCAACATGGATGGATGATTTCCAATTTCTCTTTTTATTAATAAAGGTAATTTTTTAAACAATTTTATTTATTTATTTTTTTTTTTTTTTTGGTTTCTCTGTAGCTTTGGTGCCTGTCCCGGAACTAGCTCTTGTAGACCAGGCTGGCCTCGAACTCCTAGAGATCCGCCTGCTTCTGCCTCCCAAGTGCTGGGATTAAAGGCATGAGCCACCACCGCCCGGCAATAAAGGTAACTTTTAACAGTCTTAATTAAAATGAAATGTATCAAAGTTTCACAATTCCTAAATTTTACTTAGCAGTATGATGGTGTATGTACATTTAAAATATTTTAGCACTACAAATGCCAGTGGCCTATATCCCTGCAGCACTACACACAACAGCACAAATTAAATCTGCCAGAAATTCTATTATTGACTCAAAATTTTTAAGGACTACAGTACAATTATGTACAGTGTTCAAAGTCTGTCAAACTGAATATACATGGTCTTAGGCCATTACTACTATTTCATTCCAATTTGGATTTAAATATAATCAACTTACAGATCTGAAATAAAAGCACTGCTTAATGGTTTCAGATGCATTTTGGTATTGGATGTTTCAAGGCATCTTTAGAAATAATAAGTTAAGACTGTACTGAAGTAATCTGCGTCTACAGCTGCTTGAGACAGCAGGATGAATGTTAACTGTTAGCGACAAGTCTGCCAATTAAGAGTCCAAGCCACTCCTAGTTTAAAACAAGCAAAACTAATAGCACAGAGAACTTTAATATAACCTTAATGGTCTAACAAACCTTCCAAATGGAAGGAAATACAAAATAAAGTTCACACATCAATTTACCTTGTATTGGTACGTTTCAGCATCACAGATTTATCAGGTCAGCTCACCAACTCTGGGCTAGCCCACTTAGTGCCCACGGTGTGGTCAGGACGGCAGCAGCCGGAGACACAGCGGCACAAGTACGGCTGTACTGGCCTCCATGCTCGCCATGCTCTTTAACACTGACACTTCAGGGGCCCTTGCTGTCATGAGCCCAAATACCATTTCCTTGGAGATATAAAGCTAAACCAAATCAAGCATATTAATCTCCTAGACACAGGCTCATATAGGAAGTATTTTGTTTACTAAACTGAAAAGTTAACTTTTAAAAATATCTGCAGTCTTTTTGAAATGCAAGGCACCAGCAGGAGCGTACGTTCCAGCAAGAGTGACTGACTGGGACCATGGAGCCGAAAGTCCTTCCTCTTCTGCTGATCACAATACTTCCTTTCCTGTCTATGCAACATCTTCCAGATAATCGGCCACGTCGCTGAGCTGGGAAACAGTCAGGTCTTGTGTGAGGTCATCAAGCTTTGTTGTCCAAAAGAAAGAGAAGAATCAGTGTACAACAAAGTCTGAATCCATCTGTCAGTGTATACTGCTATCATTTCTTTATCTTCTGTAACCTGCTTAGGAGGGCCACCCCTGGACTAGAGATGGCTACCAGGAGAATGGGGACACCGAGTGAGGACAAGGTTCCTCTCCGGACTTTGTGGCACTTACTCTCTTAGAGCTGTTTATTTGGCCCATTACTTCTTATTTTTTTTCCTTTGCATATAAGGAAATACTAGAAATAAAATTATTTTAAGTAAATCGCCCTTGTTCGAACAGTAGTCTTGGCATACAACCATCGGTACAAAAACAGCTACTGGAACCTTAAAGTCATACTTTTTTTAGTTAGTTTTATTCCCTTTATTTGATTTTTTGTTTGTTTGTTTTTGATGTGGGATTTCCCTCTGTATGCTGTGATTACCATTAATGAATAAAGGAAATGCTTTGGGCCTAAAGCAGAGCTATAGGGGAACAGAGTTAGGCGGGGAAAACTAAATGGAATGGTGGGAGAAAGAAGGATGGAGTCAGGGAGACGCCATGTAGCTCCCCTGGAGACATATGCGGGAACTTTAGCTGGTACGCCACAGCCACGTGGTAATACACAGATTAATAGAAATGGGTTAAATTAAAATGTAAGAATTAGCCAATTAGAAGCTAGAGCTAATGGGCCAAGCAGTGTTTTAATTAACACAGTTTCTGTGTGATTATGTCTGTTGTGAGTGGCCAGGACGAACAAGCGGCTTCCCTCCTACATATTTGTTTTATTTTTTGAGACAGGGTTTCTCTGTGCAGCCATAGCTGTCCTGGAACTTGCTCTGTAGACCAGGCTGGCCTCGGAATCACAGAGATCCGCCTGCCTTTGCTTTCTTCCCATGTGCTGGGATTAAAGGTATGCGCCAGCACCGCCCAGCCCAAGTCATTACAATTTTAAAAATGAAACTCAGAAAAGCCCACACACTAAGAAATAGATTAAGAATGATACTTTGGATCTGTTATTTTTGACTCTCATCATTATTAAATAATGAACTCATTAAGGTATTGCATTTTATATGCAAAACAATTGAATGCCATATTAATGCTAGTTTTAGACTAGAGAAGAGTAAGGAAACACTATGGATGACGGTGATCTTTCATAATCTACAGTGGATATCAGTTAGCTGAGGGGCTTTTAGTTTTGATTTAGAGCAAGGGAAGACCACAGAACACAGGGCTGTGTTTCTCTTTCACACTGCATTGGTGTACAGCTATGCTGCTGATGTCGGTTCTAACAGCTTTAAGGTGGACTCCTTCATTTTATACGTATTTTCATCAAGTTGGCTGAAAACATCAATTTGATTCCTTCCTTCCTATTTGGAAGCTTACTCGTTCACTGGCCTGATTGCTCTGGCTAGGATCTCATGCACTGTGTTAAATCAAAGCAGTGAAAATGTTCAATATTGTGACAATTTGAAAACTGGTAGTTGTTCTTCAGAGTTCTTATTTTCCTCTCTCCTTTTCCCCCTTCAGTCAGTGCACCCACTGCCGGGGATCACACCCACAGTCTCATGCTTGCTTTAGCTGCTCACTGCTGAGATAACCTTTATCTCTTTTGAAATCTGTGACATTACCAAGAGGCTGAGTTAGCAGCTGACCTTCACCATGAATTCCATCACAGATCTGAACAAATAATCCTCAGTGGTCTTCAGCAAGAGCTCAGTGTTTGGTTCTTATGGATGACAAGCGGTGGAAAGGTAAGAGGGGCAAACATCTCGTGTATACTGGGTGGTAGTAGAGATGGCTTCTCATCTACTGTCACTAAGTAGTAATACTGCCACCTTAAAAGAAACCAAGATGAAGCTGAGCATGGTGGCACACAGCTTTAATCCCAGCACTCGGGAATTGGAGGCAGGAGGATCTCTGTGAGTTTGAGGCCAGCCTGGTTTATAGAGTGAGTTCCTTGACCACCAGAGACCCTATGTCAAAAAACGAAACAAAACAAAACCCAATAAAAACACCCACAAAAGGAAACTGAGATAAAGGCTCATGCTTACCTATGACACCTAGCATCTGAAAGGTAGAGGCAGGAGACTTGTTTCAAGTTTGAGGCCTTCCTGAGCTACATACTGAGTTCAAGGCCAGCCTAGGATTTAAACCAGGATCCTATCTCAAGGAATCCAAACCAGAAAACAAATATATTAAACTTAATATATTAAAAATGACACAACCCAAATTTTGCTTACTCATTTTAAAATACAACCTCTCTTGAGGGATCCCTCCTCATGTGACAATCTGAACCCAGCCTACCTCCACCTCATCTAGAAGGCAGCACGCCCAGCTAGGCTGTGAACAACAGAGCTCATCTCTTCTCTATTGCGTGAAAAGCTCCAGTGTGGAACCCAGATGGAATCCTGGCTTTAAACCTCAAACCAAAGTCCTTTGCTATGCTGCCTCCCGCAGTTCTGTCTCAACCTGGCCTCAACTAGCCGAAGGTGGTCAAATGTCCCATAGATACAAGCTCACTTTAACTCCAAGTGAGACAGTTTTGGCTCTAGTCCTGATCCCTTGTGGCCACCCTTACCCCAGGCCTGTCAGAGTACAAATACTAAACAAAAGACAGCTGTGAGCCTCCCACACCCTTGAAGGTTTTTTTCAGACTTACAATAGGCAACTGTCACAAACTGTTTGCAATTTTCAACCATTTTTTTACTGTCATATAAATTTACTAAGCCCCTTGGCAAATCGGCAAATAAACAGCATACCCAAAGATGTGCTAGCGCCTTACTTTATCACTGCTGTTAACGTCGTCTATGCCCATGGAAAGGTCTTCTTCAATTTCTTCACCAATACTTAATTCACTTTTTTCTGAGCGGTGGCTAGCACTAATTATAAGAGGGGAAAGATGGAAAAGAATTCTGAAGAATAACTACCACTGCTCAAATTTTCAAAGATTTTAATCCTACAAGTAACATATAACAACATTAAACATTGATTTCACTGTCATCTAAGAAAACTCACAAGGCAAAGATCTCTCAAATGTCACTCATCACACAATATTCTTACCTCCAAACACAGTATAATTATTGTAATACAGTCAGAAATTTCTAATCAGAAAACTGTTAAAATTTTCAAGCATAATTTAAATTTTCTAATCATATCTATAGCAAAAAGTACTTTCTTTTTTTAAATTTCTTTTTCTTTTTTTAATATTTATTTATTTATTTATTCATTCATTCATTTATTTATTATGTATACAATGTTCTGTCTGTGTGTATGCCTGCAGGCCAGAAGAGGGCATCAGACCTCATTACAGATGGTTGAGAGCCACCATGTGGTTGCTGGGAATTGAACTCAGGACCTTTGGAAGAGCAGGCAATGCTCTTAACCACTGAGCCATCTCTCCAGCCTCCAAATATTACTTTCATATCACTAGGCAATTCATACAAGTTACCGCTAACAAAATGTTCATGTCACAGTGATGAAGGCAGTTTTTTTAAAGTCAAACACAGACAATGCCCACCACAAAGACAAAGGACACAAGAAAAATCAGGATAAGCTCCTGACTTGGTTTCAAATAACAGGTCAACCCTAAAACCACTTCTTTATCTTACTCTTTACGACTCTCCCACTACAGCACACACATTTGTCTGTGTTCTAATGTAACAAGTTGTCACTCCAAAACATAATTTTGGATTAGCTATTGGTCTGGGAAAATTCTGTATTCTGTCAATTATGTTTTAAATAAACGCTGATTGGCCAGGCAGGAAGTATGGGGGGGAACGGGACAACCAGACAGGACATAGAGGTAGGTCAATTAGAGCAGGAGAATTCTGGGAAGGAGGAAGCCCATTCCTCCCCAGTCCTGTCCAGACACCGAAGAAAGAGGATGTGACCTGCCCCACTGAAAAAGGTACTGTGCCATTTTAATATAGATAAAAATAATGGGTTCATATAAGTTACAAGAGTTAATAAGAAGCTTGAGCTAATGGGCCAATCAGTTTATAACTTATGGAGACCTCTTTGGGGTCTTTTTTCTTTGGGGCTAAATGGCTGTGGGACCTGGTGGGAGGACAGAAACCCCAGCAAGCAGGCCCTCATGTTACAAGCTATCTGTCGGTTCTTTCAATCAAGTATAAAGTAAACCACAATGTAATTGTGCCACACTAGTATTCAGAAAGTATTTAAAAGATTCATGTATTCATCTCAATGTTTTTCTTACCTATGAAAATCATCAACATAGTCTTCATCTTCTCCAGTTCCTGGTAATTTGTTTAAGAAAAGAAATACGTTATTACACACTTATAGAAAAATACTTATTTTTTTTTAAATAAGCGTTTCCTGCCAAAACATTACTGAATGATACTGATTCATGAAAACATTAAGTACCAAAATAGTGTTTAAAAAATTTAGATTTATTTATTTTTATATTCAGGAATATTTTGCCTGCATGTATTTGTATGTATACCATGTGTCTGCTGGTCCCAGGAAGGAGAGCTACAGATGGTACTGAGCCATCATGTGGGCACTGTGACATGAACATGGTTCCTCTGCAAGAGCAGCACATACTATTGGCCACCAAGCCAATCTCTTCAGCAGAAAAAAATATATTGCAGTCATCTCTTTAGTAATACTTTTACCACATTAAATGAAGGGAAATAATAAACGCTGTCTAAGGATTCTACCACATGCTGGAAAGTGAAAACCTTATTTGTGTTCTAGGTTCAGGCAGGGGCTTACTCTATAAAGGCTGCCCTGTGACCTGATGGGTGTGCGGCTCCATGGCAGAACACTTGCTCAGCATACTTATGGACCTGGGCTCTATCCTCATCACCACAAAAACAGAAAAAGGGACACACAACAGCACGGTACCAGCAATTTCTCTTGTCACCTTGTTTCCAACTGCTATGACTTTCAATGCAATAGTCTGCTCACAATTTTAAAAACCATCAGAAGGTGTGAAGAGGCAATGGAGCATGTGGGCCCATCACCCGGAAGGGCCCTGGGTGCCCTCTCGTGGCCATGCCCAAGCACAAACAAGCCCGAACCACAAATTCTGAATTCACAGTCTGATACACAAGAGGCTCCAAATGCAAAGTGGCCACACACGGAGGAGCTGTTACTAACTCACAAGTGCCTCAAGCTTCCTCACACACACACAGGGCTCTGAGGGGAGCAAATTTACGACCTAACCTATATCTCTCAATGACAACTAACTGCAAATTAGCTGTTATTCCATCCCATGACTTTCAGAGCAGTTGAGGAAGAGTGGGAAGGAATGGCTGTGGGAACATTCACAGGGACAAAGGGGAGGCTGCCTGGGGCAGGAAAAATTCTGGCTGGAGAGTGAACTGCTCAATGCTGCTGCCCATCACTGTCCTGGGTTCTCCAAAACAGAGGAGCAAACTTGAGGGGATTCAAGATCAAGGGGGGCAGAAAACTCTCTTATAGCATTTGATTATACAGTTGTCAAACTTTGGAGTGACGCTTCTTCCACAGACAGCAGTCAACAGTGAGAGAGAGGCATTAAGGTTTCAGAACAAAAAAAAGGTACCACAGTGGACGGAAACTCTGTGAAGGCAGTAGAGGCTCAAATTCCAGGAGAATATGTTTGTAGAGAAAGCCTGACAAAATGAAGGTGTTTGAGACAGCAGCAGAGGACAACCACCATGGAGCGGGAGGCGGGCAGGGCACAGCAGAGTGGTCTGATATCTTTCTTCACAGACATGGGCTTCTGGGAGAAAAGCCGTGAGTAGGAGAGGCAAGGATGGAAGGAAAAGTAAGAGAAAGCGTATGTGTGGCAAAGCTGGAGATGATGGGGGGGGGGGGGGGGGGGGGGGGGGGGGGGGACCTCCCATGGCAGGTGAGAGAAATGCACACACAAGTGAGGAGCAGAGACTTTCTCCTGGAGCCTCTGAAGAGAAGTAACAGGAAGGGACAAGTTCCAGGTCCATCTCTTCGTCTAGCCACCAAGGTTAAGGGGCTGCAACAGCTTAAGAGAAAACAGGCAGTCTGCTAGAGTAGGAAGAGAGAAGGAAGAAAACAAACCACAATCTTGCTGGTTTGCAGGAGTCACTAAACAAACAATGGCTGGGTCTCCAGGAAAAAAGCCCAACACAGACAAAAGAGGAAACTAAGTCAAGAAAGCAGGACAGCTGGGGCTGCAGCTTGAAAGTGCAATGAGGAGTTATCAGACTCAAGATACTCACTGACTAGTGGGTTTCTACAGGAGGGACTCTGCCTTCCTGGTTACTACATGGATGTTATGAGCTGAAAAGGGAACATTTAACAGAACAAATATTAAACTAAAGGCTGGCAAAACTTGCTCCAGGCAATGATTCTTTTTTTATTTACATGATATCTACTCCAGCCCAAGACTTTACCCCAGGCACCTGGTCCAGCACTGGCTTTCTTCACACTCACTCTTGATTCTGACCAGTATTAGCCAACGGAGCTAAGAAAGAATGGTTTTTAAATTTTAAATAAATTTGAAAAAAAAAAATAACAAATACCACAAAATATGTGCTGGAGACTACATGAACTTTCTACTTTATTGAATTTGTTATAATTTGCTACTCTTTTTTAAAAATAATTTTTATGATTTATTTAACTTTATGTGTATTGGTGTAAAGATGTCATATCCCCTGGAAAAGGAGTTACAGACAGTTGTGAGCTGCATTGTGGTGGCTGGGAACCGAACTTGGGTTCTCTGGAAGAGCAGTCAGTGCTCTTAACCACTGAGTCATCTCTCCAGCCCACAGTTTACCACTCTTGCTTTAAGCAGGCAAAGTGCCTATTAATAACATTCCACTTGCAAACTTTTGCTTCTCCCTTTACTACAACCATGTATATTTATGTAATGTACAGCATGTCTTAACATGTACAGTGTAAAATCACTAGCACTGTCAAGCTTATTAATGCACCAGGTCGTGCGATCAAGCATTTTTGCTTTAACTAAACTTTGTGCATTTAAGATCTACTGTCTTAGAGAATTTCAAGTGTGCAATACAACTAACAGTGGTCATCATGCTGGGTTTTAAACTCTAGAAGGGCTATCCACCTAACACAGCCTCACCATGTAGGCTGGCCTCTGCTTCCCTAATGCTAAGATCAAAGGTCATGCCACATGACCAGCTCATCTGCCTACTCTTAATTATGCCATTTAAACTAAAACAGATTGTGTTCTAAATTGAGTTTTCACTGGAATGGTATTTACAGATTGTCCAAGGATGACATAGTGGCTGACGGCCTGAGTGACACATGCAGACTCCAACAGCTGCTGCTCTTCATCCTCTTCTCTGGGTCAGAACAGGGTGGGAGGGGCACATCACTGACATCATTCTAGCTGCATGAGCACCTGCAATCTTGTCATGCATGCTGTCAACAAGAACAAGGCTCAAATGACTGCCGTAGCCCACTAAACAAGACTACACCCTTCTAGTGAGTCTGGTGAAGTGCTGTACACCACCCCAAGTTCAACTCGAGGTACGCCTAAATGCCAGCAGCGGGGGAACGTCAGTCAGGACTGCCTTCACCAGAGGAGACGTCTCTGCAGTTCTACCTTAGCAGCAGAGGAGGGAACCACACTTTCATCAGAGAAAAGAGCAGTGAAAATGGAAAGCCCAAAGGCTTGCACTAGGTGAACCACCACAAAGTGAAACAAGATGTCAGAATGAAGGGGACAGAGCAAAACCTGAGGAATCGTGGTCAAGGGAGGGAGCAACAATTCTGAGGTGCAAGGGTAAAGAACTCCCTGCAGGTGTGATTGCAGCAGAAGCAGGGAAGGAAGGAGCATGGACCCACCTAGCCAGCCACCAGCCAGCAACCGGGAGGCACAGAGGAAGGGCCAGACTACTAGCAACTCAGCAGTTACCAGGACTTCAGGGCACTGTGTGGGACAAGAATCCAGGCAGCTCAGAGGACATATATTCTTCGGCAAATGGGGAAGAAAGTAACACAAAAAGGATCTAGAATTTGAGGCACCCGAGCTAGGCACTGTACCTATTGATGTATGTACACATGCTTAAATCCTATTTAGTCTTCAAAGCGAGGTAGATGGTACTGGACTCACTCAACAGAGAAGAAAAGCACAGTTTACTCCAAGTCAGGGCCATAGTGAGGATCTTAATGTAAACCTATCCAGTCCTCACCTGGGTCCTGTGCTATATCCAGGGTGTTTGGTTAGAAACTTTGGCAGGACAGTCCTGCACATTCACAAAGTGCACAGAGGACACGGCTCTCTCTCCCCAGCCTGCCTGAACAGCACCGCCCTTAGAACAGAGCACATCACATCCACACAGAAGACAGAGATGGCCGAGAGCCCAGCTGTACCGTGAGAGGGAAGGTTCTCCAGGCCCCCGTTACACTGTCTGCAATGAGTTCAGAACCCAGCTCTATGCATACTGACTATCTGCTCCAAATAACACAACAGCTACAGGTCCTCTCACAAGTCTGAGCCTTGCATCAGACTGACCCCCTGTGCTCTGGGTGCTTCACTCCCAGCACAGAGATCAGCTCTGTCGCCGCCACCAACTTCACCCACTCTCTCTGAAACCATCTTTGTTATACAGCTTTGACTTGATCACCAGGTCTGGCCACAGCCTCTTCTGGAGGTCTTTCATAAAAATCCAGGCTAGGGCATGTTCCTACTACAGTCTGAATGCTACAAGGCAAAGGATGGTCCAGGCTGTTGCTATGGCCCTTTCCCAGCACAGGGCTGAACTCTGGATGCTGGGAGTGGAGCTGAAAGACAGCAGGAAGGCTCGCCGTGTAGACGTTAATCTGGAAGATGATGTCAACAATCGCACTAAAACTGAAACCTAGTTACCTAGTCCAAGTGATCCAATTTTCTCACTGACCAATTTCAGATCCTTCAGGACCGTGCTTCCTCTTTTACCTGCAGGCAGGAGAAAGGACTTGCGTGAATGGAACTCAGAGCGACATTCTCTAAGCCATGCCAACTTTCTCTCAGATGAGACATCTATATCCCTAAGAGAACAGAAAACCTTAGAATAGAACTATGATCAATAGAGGACAGATTCATGTGCTATCATTCCTGGAGGGTTTTTTTTTTTTTTTTTTTGGTAAAAAGCAAAGGATTCCTGTGTTATAGAGAGAAACCAGATTATATCATTCCTTATTAGAACATAACCACCAAAATAAAAACGTATACAAGCCCAGGACTGTGAACTCCCGGTGGATCTACTTCAGGAAGTTCTGCTGATGTTCTGAACACGTACTGCTGGCTAAACACCAGCTGGCTATGATAGGGTGATGTCCACATATGCTCCTTAAATCCTCAGAAATATTGTCCCAGTGATGTAGGTGGGTCTTCTATCTATCTGTTGCTTTCATTGGTTAATTAATAAAGAAAACTGCCTTGGCCCTTTGATAGGACAGAAAGCTAGGTAGGCGGAGTAGACAGAACAGAATGCTGGGAGAAAGAAGCAGATTCAGGCAGACACAATAGCCCTCCTCTCCAAGATGGACACAGGTTAAGATCCTTCCCCGTAAGCCACCACCTCGTGGTGCTACACACGTTAATAGAAATGGGTTAATCAAGATGTGAGTTAGCCAGTAAGAAGCTAGAGCTAATGGGCCAGGCAGTGTTTAAAAGAATACAGTTTCCATGTAATTATTTTGGGTAAAGCTAGCCGGTGGCCGGGAGCCCTCCCAGGTGGCGGGAAGTGGCCTGCTGCTCCTTCTACATCCCTGGGTGGGGATAGGCTCGGTTGGGACGGGACAGGACAGCAAAGTTTAAGTAGCTTGCTACCCTCCGCCTGGCTTGCAATCTCTCTTCTTTGTGCACACAAAGAGTCTAACACAAGCCCCGATGATAGAGTGATTATGACGATGGCTCTATCATAGAACTTCTTTAAACACTAAGTTATTCTATGGGTCCATGAGACACGACCTACAAGTTACAAATGTCCTGTCTCGGAACGGCACAGCACCTAACACCCATCCTAGGCTGACAATGTTCCAATCAAAACTCTTCTGGAGATGCCTCACCTACGAGCCATCCCAGTCCAGCAGCATGCTGGGGATGTGTTACCTTCCCTAGTGACCAGTATGTTGATAAAACAGAGGCACAGGCATACGGCAGCCACAGAAAAGTCAAACCAAATTTTGATGTATATCACTTCAGTATAAAATCTTAAAATTATATATGTATATTATTCATAGTCTAAACCATTTAAAAGGTCAGTTTCCTAAAGATATTTCGATAGTATAGCAAAGGAGAATACAAAATGGTGGAGAACACTGACTACATTAAGAAACGAAGAGAACAGCACACTATTGTATATATCTTATTAAAATATTGTGTATCTTATTAAAATAGTGTATGTCTTATTAAAATTAGGATTTTCTACAATCAACCCACATTAATCCTATCACATGTAATGGCCAGATTTTTTTGTCACCCTGACATAAGCTCGTCATCTAGGAAGACTAAACAGTCAACTGAGGGATTGCCTCTGTCAGACTAGCCTGTAGGGTAAGGCTGTGGGACATTTTCTTGATTAATGGTTGATGTAGCAGGGCCCAGTTCCCTGTGAGCGGTGCCACACCTGGGCAGGTGGGACTAGGTTGTATCAAAAAGCAATCTGAGTAAGCCCTGGGGAGTAAGCCAGTAAGCAGTGTTCCTCCACGGCTTGGCCTGTCTCAGTTCCTGCCGAGTCTCCTTTGTGAAGAACTACGAGTGTAAGCTGAAATAATCTCATTTTTCCTCAACTGACTTTTGGTCATGGTATATTATCACAGCAATGCACACCATGCTTATCTGGAAACAACAACAACAACAACAAACCTGGAGTATCAAATACTCACTCTCAGTGGCATCTGTTAACGAAGGGGCACCTGCCAGGGAGCTCAGACCGCTCCTTAAGGGGGGTATGTCAGAAAGTGAGGCCAGACTCCCCACTTGCTTCCTAGGTTCACTTCTCCTAACAGGAAGCAATCGACAGTTAAATGACAATTTCAGACCTTTTCACTGTAGTCTTAGTCTGTAAACATAAACAAGCAATGTAAAGCACTTATATATTCATGTAGTAGCTGGAAATGAAGATTTCACAGATCAGCCATAAAGCATACCTATGGGACAATACAGAATACAGACATCTGTGGTCCAACACAGAAGCATTACCTCTCCAGCACACACTGCTCGGAAGCTGCAGAGTCCTCTGACTTTGAGGGGTTTTTCATCAACTTCATGCATTCCAGTCAGCTCGCTCCTAACTTCCCAGGCACTACCATCAGGGCCTACACTGGCCACCCTCTCCATTCTGCTGACAACTCCTCCCTGGAGTCCACCACAAGGCATCACTCCAGGAATGCTCTGTTACATTATTCTAACACTGGGTGTTTCCTTACACTAACATGCACGCACACTAGCAAGCACACATGCACAAACTGAAACCCTGAAGCAGCTCCTATCACATGGTGGGCACCTGATAATAGGCTCATCTGGTGAAAATGGTTCATACCTGATGCCTTCAATAATCCTGGCATTATAACATACTAAGTTTCACTGACACAAAATCAGATTTCTGGATTCAATAATTATATAGTTATCAGATCATTAGTTTCAAAATATAGAAATTTTGTTTTTAAACCATAAGTCAGATGATCCGAAGAAGTTTACTCACCAACCGTATGTTTTTTCTGGCTTGGGAATGGGATCATCAAAGAAAGAATCTCCTTCTGCATCGTTTTCATCTGGACAAAGAGCACTTCTGTCTTTGGCGTCTAGAGTGCTGCTCAGGAAGGATGCAATTCTTGTCTCGTGGGCCAGCGAGTGCAGGCTGCTCCTGCTCTTTGGCTCTGACAAGGAGACACTGGTCTCACTCTGACTGGTCTCACTGCTGGTCTTCTAAGAAAGAGGGAGGGACAGGTCTCCGTGGTGATAAACTTCTAAGATATGATAAATAGCCACCGCAGCGGTGTGTGTGCACACGTGTGTCTATGTGTGGGTGTGTATCTGAGTGTGTGCACGCCTGTGTCTGCCCTTTAGCAGCAGCAACGGCAGTGTAGTCCTATGCTTTCCCACTTTATCCCCGGGCTTCCTGACATGGGCAACTTTCCAATGACAAAATGTTAAAGCAGACGTTCACACTGTTTCTTCTAACTGAAAACACTTTACTGTGCCTACCCGGGTGCTCAGCAATGCTCCCATTTATAAACAGCGTCCTCTTTCCATCCTATGTCACTGCTGCATAAAGTATCTTAACACATAAATCCTCTATGTATCTTCAACCAAGGCTGAAAACACACTTCTATTCCGGTCCCACTGACACAGAGCCAAGGCTAGCAGGAACTATCTCAGTGACTGGTTTACTTTGACCACCACAGTACAGTTTTAGTCTATACCTGGTCTGGTCTTTTTTTTTTTTTTTCCCCTTTTTTGGAGACAGGGTTTCTCTGTGTAGCTCTGGCTGTCCTGAACTCACTCTGTAGACCAGGCTAGCCTCGAACTCACAGAGATCCACCTGCCTCTGCCTCCCTGAGTGCTGGGATTAAAGGTGTGTGCCACTATTGCCTGGTTTTATCTATTTCAATAACAAAAATAATGCCAGTGTAACAGCAGTGGCTAACAATTGTGGAGAATACGCAAATGCTTCAAGTGTTGTGCCTCACTCAATCTTTAGACCACGCATATAAGATGTGCTATCTGTACGGACTCTAAAAAAGGAACACAAAGGCAATTTATGTAACTTGTTAAGACCCCAGGTCAGTTAAATAGTAAAATGAGGATCAGATTAGCTCTCCCTTTTTGAGACAAAGACTCATACAACACAGGTGGCTTTGAAGTTGCTGTATAGCTGAGGATGACCTTGAGCCGATTTCCTTGCCTCTTGCCTCCCAATGGCTGGGATTACAGGAGTTTGCCACCACATCCAGCCAAGGTTAGTTCTTAATACTTGGGTTATACCATTAGGTCGAGTTATATGAAACTGCATTTGGTGTGGATTGAAAAGACAATTTCCAAAGGGCTGACCTTATATACTACAGAGTGCAATATCATAAAGACCCCTGTGCTGCTCCAGAAAAAGCAGTCAACTAAAATAAGGAATCTGGAAAGTGCCTGTCCTGGGTCATTAACTGTGTGATCTTAGGGAATGCTTTCAGACATGAATTTCGTCAAGAATTAAATTAGTCAGTATGTATACCGTAAGTTACAAACAGGCTGGGACAGAGCAGATTAGCAGCAAGGTAAGAAGCTGGGCTATGCAGAAGTGGAGTAAACTAACACAAAAGCACTACAAAGGGGTTGTTCTATTTTCCCACACGCACACAGCATAGCATGTCTGAGGATTCCCACGGATGTTTGTAGACTTAAGGCTTTGGTTAGTTGCCAGAGGCAAGACATGATGCAGCTATATAGTTTGTGGGCTATTAGCAGTGATAAAGCTAACTGCTGGGGGAACTGTTTGAACAGTACAGGAAACTTCCAAGGAGGTACTTTAAGAATTTCCTCACTACTTTCTTCAAGCTGTCCTGGTGTTGTGAAATACAGAAGTGTAGTATGTTTACATATACTTACATCAGATTCAGGTCAGTTTCCATTTCTGATTTAAACATGTTTTAATAACTGATTTTTCAGAGGCATTACAAATAAACACCCTCAAGTCTTACGATATTTAAACACATTCACTGAGGTTGAGGTGGTGACCCCTGCCTTCAGAACTTGCTGAGAAAGTTTAACAGGGCCAGGGCAGAGTGAGACAAACACAAAGCAACATCTCAGGCAGGTCAATGACCACAGCCCATGCTGTCCTCCTGGAGCTCACATCACCAGCTCAAGTACACACAGACACAGGACCCTGAAGAGCTTGGGGACAAGTGCTTGTCCATGATTGCTGTCTGGCTGGCTTCAGTGGCATTCTTACTAGTGATGCAAGGTCCAGTTCTATATGTTTCATGGAGGACATTATGCTATGACATAATGTATTTTTAAAATAACAGAATATTTATTTTATTCTAAACATACAGTTGTATCTATGAAGCTAAAAAGTTTCAAATCAACCGGCTCTGCAATGGTGCTCAAAATCAACTCCTACACTACCCAGGAGGGCGTCGACAGACACAGAGCAGACTGCCAGGGGGATATGGGAAAGACCATCTCCCAGGCTTGCCTAACACCAACAGAAGCCAAGAGAGATGCCTTTCCTTCTGCCCTGCCTGAAGACTGGGGAACAGGTGCCATGTTTCAAGCTCCCAGCATATACTCTGGTACAGAAGCTGAGGAAAGTCACAGACGTCTATAATACGACACTTAGCCTTCGTCATTTTATAAAAATGCAAAGACTTACTGAACAGCACTGCATCAGCCATTCCCTTCGATGGAGCTGTATGGTAAATTATGATAAAAGTTTTTCAAAATTTAGTATAGATTAATTTTTCCAGTAAAACACATAATCAAAAATTCAATCATTTAAAAAATTAATTTAAAAAAGTAATAGAAAATGAAATTCAGAGAAAGGTTTCACAATGGAAAATACTGTCTAGTAGCCAAAAATAGAATTATTGCTACAATGTCTTTTTTTTCATATATTTATTAAGTATACAGTGTTCTGCCTGCATGCATACCTGCAGACCAGAAGAGGGCACCAGATCTCATTACAGATGGTTGTGGGCTACCATGTGGTTGCTGGGAATTGAACTCAGGACCTTTGGAAGAGCAGGCAGTGCTCTTAACCACTGAGCCATCTTTCCAGCCCTTGTTACAATGTATTTAGGAACCTAAAAAAGGGCTTAGGTGTGGCTCTAAGGTGAGGACTTGGCCAGCACAAAGGCCTCAATTCTCAGTACTGAGGGGAAAAGGATAATATAATTTATGTTTCCAAAATGAAAGCTTAATGCGCACTGTTCCTAAGGAGACAAACTGTCCCAGCTTTGCAAACACCTCAAATATTTATCTGTAATATTCCCTTTCCACACCTGGCCTCTCTCACCCTCTGCCACCTCCTCCACTCTGCCAAAGGCAGCTTTGGATTCATGACTGACTTAGGAAGTTTAGTTTTAGGACTTCTAATATTTACTAACAAAGTATTGAAAAAATTTATTACTATTAAAATGGGCACTGTACTTATAAGGTTTAATTTGTTCCCCTAAAGACTGTAGAACTCTAGAAGCCCACAGTGAAATCTTTAAATCTTTAAACACCTCCAGTGTTACAGAATATTATTTTAAGATGTCTTATATTTGTTTATGCTGTGGAAGATTTAATGATACAAAGATGTACTGCAGTCTTTTCTGTTGCATTTGTCCAACTCTGTGAAGCAGTGTTACTTTGCCTGTCTAGAACACCTGATGGTCTAATAAAGAGCTGAACAGCCAATACTGAGGGAGGAGAAAGGATAGGCTAGGCGGGGTTGGGAGGCAGAGAGGATAAATAGAAGGAGAAGGCACAAGAGAGATCAAGGAACACAAAAGAAGGGGCCAGCCAGCCGGTCACAGAGTAAGAGTGACAGTCAGGTTACAGAAGTAAGAAAAGGAAAAGGCCCAGAGGCAAAAGATAGATGGGATAATTTAAGAAAAGTCGGTTAGAAATAAGCCAAGCTAAGGACAGGCATTTATAACAAGCAATAAGACTCCATGTGTGACTTCTTTGGAAGGTGGGTGGTGGGTCCCCCAAAAAGTCAAGAGTAAAACAGTCAACAACACTCCAGTCTTCCTAGAGAAACATTCTTCCCACCAGGAGCTATCTAAGTCTTACACTCAGCAGAACCATGGCCTTCTGGAGCTACAAGACAGAAAGGCCTTGTAAAGGTGTCTCAACCTTGTTCCCTCAGCCCTCTCGTCCCTAGCAGCTCAGACTCATAGGAGGACCAGTGTGAAGAGGTCAAGTTCAGTGCCAGTTTCCAATTATCTATCTACCATTCACCCAGCATCATGTTGGGGAATGAATAAGGAGAGTCACACTCAGTATAGAAAATCCTGAGGGGGTAGCCAGACACAAACAAACCTAGCCTGAAAGACATACACAATGTGATTGTGACCAATGTTCAAAGTCAACATAAAGTTGAATTTATTCAAGAATTCTGAAAAGGAACAAACTACTTCTGAAATGTATTATTAAGATTTGAAAGCAAAAGTGCCTCCATCTGCATTACCCTGGAAACTAGTGAGGACAGCTTCTCATACACATTAGTGCACGACACAAAGCACTGCATCCTAGAACTGGAGGTGCTTCAGCAGGAAAACCTGAGGCCTTAAAGTTCTACCCCACCCCAGTGTGGTCAGAGAGTAAACAAAACCATCTTGGTTTGCCTTTCCAGTCAAATGGTAAAGACCCAGCAAGCAGAGCTTCTGCCAAGTCTGCTATGATTACTTCCTGCTGAGTCTCTGAGACAGGGTCTCACTCTATAGTTTAGTCTGACCTGGAACTCACCACATAAGCCGAGACTGACTCTGAACTATCAATCCTCCTACCTTTACTCTCAAGTGCTAAGAAACAGGCACACATCGCTACACCTAGCTGTTCCAGTTTTTTACATTTATTATATTAAGAACCATTTTTATTAATTTTTTTGAGAATTTCATATAATGTATTTTGAACATATTCAACCCCTCTCCTCCCTTCCCATTTAAATGAGTTTCCTTCTCCCGCAACAGCCTACATTGGGTTCAGTTTTTGTCCAACTAGTCTTAGGAGTAGGGTTTCCTAATATTAATTTCTCAGACAACTGACATACTGTTTGTCAAACAAAATGGTAATATAAAGATATAATCACAGGCACTGCTTTGAAACTGTGAGATGGCTTTAAGGCTCGGTCTTTTTTGGCCAGTAAGCTGTCTCAGCAAGCAAGCACCTGCCCCTAGCCTGCTCCCAGGACCCATATGATGGAAGAAGGGCCCAATCAAGTTGTTCTCTGACTTCATGTGTACTGTGGTACATGTTCAACTACACAAATACACATAATATTCTTACATGTAAAAAATCTAATTCATTAAAGAATTCCTCATTTAATTTTTACTCTCTGTATTCTGAATCTATCCATTCTATTGTTTAAAACAAAAACAAAACCCTTTTACCAAAGTTATTACTTGAAGACCTTACATGCATCAGCTATACTTACACATGCATGTACACAAGCACACATATATTTAAATATCTGCTGTTTATTTCTTGAGACAGGACTTAGTACTGTAGCCCTAATGGCCATGCTTCTGTCTCCAGAGGGCTGAGATTACAGAAGTACATGGTCACACTGCGATTACATACGGATAATTCAGAAGTGTACTCCCAGTATTAACAAGGGCTTTGAGCCTCTGAATGAACAGCTGCCCACAGCCTGCCTCACAGTTCCAGAGCTCAATGGGAAACAGTACCCTAGGCTTTCTTGCTTTAGCTTGACTCCTGAATCACACACTCGCATGCACACTTTGCGCCTATTAAAGCATGGATGAGGTTCCTGCAGCTGCATATGACTTAGGAAATGGCACTCACTCGCCACTGGCATTTTGGTGGGCATAACCCCAACCACTACATGCAACTAGGTATCCTGATTAAGCTATTAAGAATGTTCTGGAAACTGAAAACTTACTGCATGCAGAGGGCAAAGCAAAAAGGCAGAGGAAGGGAGTGAAAGGATTACCTATCTAAGGCTGGAAAAGGCAATGCTGAGATCCATACCGATTACAAAAGCAGTTCAGAAATAAGGTCAGAGAAGAAAAGGGAAAAGGGATTTCCCAAGTGACTGAAGAAGCACAATAACAAAACAAGCCCACTAGACTCTCAGTTCCCCTCAAGTTAGAAAGCACTTGAAGGCTAACGTCTGGCCCCACCACGGCTATGTCACACGACACAGAGGGAAACCACGTCTCTCAGTATGTATGCACTGGTTTTATATACTAATTTACTCAAAATGTTTTAAGTTAAAGACCTAAGAACTACTAAGGTTATAAAAACTCAGTACTGTAAAACATGCATCGAACTTTAATATTCAAAAAAGCCAATTCAATGAATCTTAAAAACACAAACCAAAGTTAATATCCTTAGACAGTCTCAAGGTATCCCGCCTCTCAAGTTAGACTGTGAGTTCAAACAGTCACTTTCACTATGCAAATGTTCCAAAAGTACTTACTGGACAATGGAACATCTTTTCATTGAACAATGCATGAAGAACAATGAATAGAAAGAGTTTTGCCCTTGGAATCACTACAACTAAAAAGCCAGTTAACAGAGAAAAATCTTATAAAAAGGGCTTTCTTTTAGAAGTTTTAACTTAGGACAATGTCTGTGCATCAGACTCCTCACAGGATGGATGGACCTCTGAGAATGAAAATTAAATCACTGTGCCTCATTCCAATACACGCTTTTCACCTAGCTGAAACTGAGATTGTTTTGGTTTTATGCAGTGTGCTTTCCCACACACTTTTGCACCTTGTTTCTTGTTTTCATCACTGAGGACTGAACCCGGCCTCAGTGCATGCTAGTCCAGTGCTCCACCACTCGACTACGTCCCCAGCCTATTCACTGATGGTTTAGACACGATCACACTGAATTGCCTGGGCTGGCCTTCAAGTGCAGTCCTCCTTCACCCTCTCAAGGCGCTCAGACAGGCCTGTGCCACTAGGTCTGGTCTCACGTCTGTTAACATGACAGTAACGTTTAAAAAGAAAGCTTAGAACCCAGGCTAGCAGGAGGCCCGTCTACGCACAGGCTGCTTTTCTCTTCTGCTCTCATGCATGTTACCTTGTCACCAGACTTCTGCCCGCTTGTCTTCTTCTTACCTTGTCCTTTATACCTTGGTATCTGAGCATGAGAATAAAATGACATTTTACCATAAAATATAAATCTTTAAAAATAAACTAACTCATTAGCAAACTAATAAGGATTCCTATTAGACAGTATCTGTAAATGGACAAGCTAACACATTCCCCTCCAAAGCCGGCTGCTTTTGAAGGCATGTTTCCAACAGGTCAGCTTCCTTCCGTGTGTGCAGCCTGTCTCCTTCCACACTGCACTCAATTCCCTTGCACAATGGCCTGGAATCCCAAGCCGCTTGCCGAGGGCTTGTCTAGCTTGGCTTGACCTTCTCAGGAGCACACAAAGCTGGTTCCTAAATGCTGCGTCAATCCTTAGCTACAACTCCTAATGTCCCTCACACTTACACTTTCACCCTGCTGGCTCACAAAGTGGACGAGGACTCAACAAGGAGAGCTTGGGAGAACTTAGGTATATAATGGAGCTGACAAAGTGACAAAGTGAGGATGTACTGTAAACAGATCCCAGGCCCCACCAGCTAGCAAGGATCTCAGGTATTTCACAAGGGGCTATTCCAACCCCAGCTCGTGATGCGGGACTACACTGAAATGAAAGGTAGCAGACATGTAATACCCCAAGCCCAGAAGACAGAGGCCATTCCACACTCCTATAAGACTGTTCTTCTCTAAGAATTCACAGCAATATTTCTTAAGACTGAAACACTCAGTGTCATCATCACAATGCTAGAATAGAGCATGCAGTAACAGATTTTATTATGGTTTCTCTTGAGGATATACCTTACATGGAATGTCAGTACCACTGCTAAAAATAATCTATGAGGAAGTGAATTTTCCAAGCAGCTCAATGCCTCAAGTACTGATAAGTATATTAATAATACTGGTTTGTTTTCTTTTTTAATAATTTAATTTTATTTTATGTGCATTGGTGTGAGGGTGTCAGATCCCAGGGAACTGGAGTTATATTATAGACAGCTGTGAGCTGCCATGTGGGTGCTGAGAATTGAACCTGGGTCCTCTGAAGAGCAGCCAGTGCTCTTAACCACTGAGTCATCCCTGCAGACCCTATGTGTTTTTTCTAACGTCAGACATTTTCATGGAATACATTTTTCCACAGGCTTTTCCCTTATCATCTGACGGAATCTGTCAAATGTACTCATGGCCTGCTCTGTCATCAGGGCTACAGCCTTCCATAAGCACCAAGAGAAGAAAAATGTTTTAAATGCTCCTCATCTGAAAAGGCCTGGCCATCTCAGGGAGCCACACTAGCAGAATAACCCTGTTCGCTAGAAACATCAAATTTCTTTGGCTTTCAAAGCTTAAAAAGGAACAAATCATCAAAGAACAAGTCACAAATAGCAGTGTCCTCTGCCTAGACACTTAGCAACAAAGTACTCAGCAGTATAGTCACATGTTCCAAAGGTCACCTGATTTAAGATACACGTTTTATCTATAAATTCATGTTCCACCCTGAAACCACATGAAGTCTTGTGTTTGGATGGACTCGATGCCGTCTTTCTATCCCGATGGAAGAGTCACAGAGTGCAACGCTGAACTCTGATGAACTGCAGCACTAGCCGACCCACTCTCCCAAAAATCCTGATTATGTTGAAATCCCAGTCCCTAAGGTAATGACTGTACTAAGTGGGGCCCTTGGAAAGTAATTAAGTCAAAAGAAGGAGCACTGTGCATGGGCTTAAGGACTTTACTGCGCTCTCCTCCCTTCCCACTACACAAGGATCCAGAAGGTACCAGGAACTGGGCCCACACCGGACACCACAGCTGCCCCTGCCTCCCTCTGTGAGAACTCAGTACCTGCTGTTCATAAGCAGTCAGGAGTGTTTTATGACTGCAGTTTGGATAGACTAAGATAGGACCCAACCCCATTATTTCACAGAACAAACTAGAACCAATCAGGATGTCCTCTAACCAGCCATGGGACACCATCACTTTTTCATTCAATCTTCTACTACTAAACATATTCAAATGTTCAACTCAATGTTTTTCTTCTTCATGTATCGTTCCTGAAATCAGGTCTTATATTTAATACCATGCGTGCACGATACACGCACGTGCACACACACACATACACACAACCATAGTACACTTTCCTATAAATCTTGCCAAAAATAGTTCTTTAATATTTAAGTACTACCATGATTCAAATCTGGTCATCTAAAAGCCTGCAAAACTCAACTACAGCCTTTTATATTCTGGAACCTCATGCTCTCCAGATCAGAGTTTATGCAAAGTAGGGAAAGTCTTCTTACTAAAGCAATATAAAAATATTCCAAGTATCAATGTTCTCTAATATGCAAAGCGCAAAATATTACCAATGACACAAAAGAAGTAACTTTAAAAAAGTACTTAATCAAAAGAGGGAATTACCTTTAAGAAACTTTAAATGACTTGTTACAAAAGAAAATTTATAGGTAATAGGTAAGAAGAATGAGCAGAGCCCTGGGAGTCTGCCATAGTGCCCACCCACTTCTCTGTCCAGCACAGACTCACCTTACTTGGGGTGGAGTTGGCACTTGTTTTTCCTTCAGGTGACTTTGAAGGAGGATGTCCATCAGACAGATCCAATGCACCCTAAAAAGAAAAATCAGTTTGAACTGAAAATAAAACGTGATTATGCCAATGATACCACAATATTATTTTAGCATTTAAGAACACTATGTTGACATTTCTTCACAAACACCTTGACGAACTTTCTTCTAATTAGAATACACATTTAGCACCCAGATTCAAATTACCTGCAAAGTATTTCTCTTAGCCACCCGATCTGCAGGGTGGGTGCCCAGTCCATCTTTTCATCATGACTTCTGGAGGCCCATCCCCTTCTTTCTCAACTAACAATGGCTGGGATCCTCAAAGGTCCATTTTTCCTTCCCTGCTTGGATTAGCATCCCTGTTTCATTTTATGTCAGCCAAAAACAATCCAATTACCCATGAACTCCTACCCAGGGCTGGTGACATGAGTAATCTGACCAATGGCAGACCAGTCTTCCACAAGGAATTAACAATAAATGAACAACTCTCAGGGCAATGCTTTCCATGTTGAATGCCATCTTTACTATCCCATTGCCTCATTTTATAAACGAGGCCACCGAGAGGCAATGTAACATGGCCAAGGCCAACAGCTGGTCAGTGAGGAGTGATGATTTGTTTCTAGTCTGGCCCCTGAACGTAACATTTTGAGGACCAAGAGCTAAAACAGGCACACAATTGTATCTGCATATTATAATGTTCATTAAACTATGTATATACCATCTCAGTCCATTACGTTTTGTTTTAAAGAACAGCTTCTTTTCATGCAAACATCAATTTATCATGCATGGACTAATCTTCATGACTTAGGGAAAGGGCAGTGCAGGTACTTACTTCCCCACTGGTAGGTCCTTTCTCTTTCTGTTGGCAGCGTCTAATCACTTCTAATAATAAGGGTCCACCCACGGTACCTTCTGCTTCAATGATTCCTAAATCTCGGGCTAAGTTCTCCCGACCTTCAAGACCTTGAAGCTAGAAAAGAAGATTCAGGTACAGAAAATATAGCGGAAGCAGTCAGCTGGGAAAGGGAGCATTTTAGGAACTTAAAGACATCTCTAAATTCAAAGAGGCTGTGCAGCAAATGAAGTCTGGCCATTTTGTAGAGCAGCTGTGTTTAAGGCCTCTCCTGACAGCTGCTGGATGACATCTTAGAATCAACCTATAGGAGCATTCCTTTCTTAGCAGCTTCAAGTTACACAAAGCAACTCAGATGGCTTCTAGAAAAACAATAAAACAATCTAACAAACAAAAATAACCTAAATGTAAGCAACCGTGAAGTGTGAGACTCACTGACTTTCAACTTAGTATTCCCTCCGCAGAGATTTCACAGGATAGATGTAAAATCACTTTTCTTACTGTGCTAGTTTCAGGATGGAAAACAGCCAAGGTGAAGTCAAGGTTAAAAAACTGAAGAAATTCTGCCACGAGACTAGCCACTAAACGACCTGTGGAGACCAAGAGAAAGACTCGTGAACAAAATCTGAAGGACTCCATCTTCTCTGTGACCTGAAGCATTCCACAGGAAGGATGAAGTTTCTAAGTTCTCTACAGTCACGCATTTCTTCTCGGAATAATTCACTGAAGTACAAAAGTCCTGATCTTCCCAGTTTTGTTTTTTTGTTTTTTGTTTTTTTTTTTCTTTTCTCCCATTTAGGATCATCAATCTGTAACTTTAAGGCAATGTAATATTTGAAAAGTAGACTTCAGTGTTTCACTTTCTATATACTAAGTGGTATACATACATGGTGGTATATTCCTATGAAAAGTCAGCTTCGGGCAGGAAGGTCACTGATGGTTAGAGGCCGGCATGGGTCACAGAGGGAGACTATTTTTCTTCCAAATATCGGCAGAATTTTAAAACTCAGAGGCAGGTAAACACACACAACAATAACATCTTACCGTCTTTTGTATTTAAAAACTTTTTCAAGCTCTCATTGACCAAAGGAGTTTTGTTCTGTTAAAAAAATAAAAGAAATATTTTAAGTGTTCTATGTTTACCCTAAAATAACTAAAAAGCATACATTGAAGCTCTCTTTTCCCCATAGCAAAAGTTTCCTATTAGCTAGTAAGCAAACGAGAAGTGGAAAGTCCACCCTCCAGAGTGGAGAGGAGGCCAGGCTGAGTGCCAACAGCTGTGCTTAGTTATTTTGGCAACAATATAAAGAATCTATACATTGCCATTCACAGAAATCATGGTTTAGGAGATCCATTTTACAACTGTACTTATGGTAATACTTGCTTTATGCTATTTAATAACTTTTCAAGTTGAGAAAACCAAACCGTACATGCAGACAGTTATTTCCAAGCTTTTAAACCATTTTTCATATTGCTGGAGATTAGAGTCAAGACCTGGTACAAGACAGGCAAGCACTCTACCCTTGACTATACCGCCAGCCTTCACCATAACTGCTTTTGAAATAGTTTGTCTACAAATATTTCTGTGGTATAACTTTAACTCTATATTTCAATATGATAAATTTAAAATGTATCATCTTATATATCTACCACTTGCAACATATACATTTGTAAATCCAAATTTGTGATCATAGGCCAACTTAGTTTTTTTTTTATTACAGATCTGACAAATGTAGTAAAAACATTTCTTACAAATTAAGCGAGCCTGTGGTGACTGTTCAGAGCGAGGCTAATGTAGACATGATGGGCTTCCTTAAGGAGCCTCACATCTTGCTGATGGAGAAAAAAGGGCACCAATACTTTGGAAAACAGTTTAGAGGGTTGTTTTTTAGGTTAACATTCTCCTCAGCATGTGGCTAGTCACTCTATTCTTGGGCATTTCTCAAGATAACCCAGACCCCAGCAAAGACCTGGACATGACCGTTCACAGCAGCCGCATCTAAAAGCAAAAAACAGAACCCGAAGATGGTGTCAAAGGGTAGAAGGCTACACAAATTATGAGTATCCACTCAGTGACTAATGGAATGACCTACAATTCCTGAATCAGTATTAAATGGAGTAATAAATACACTATTGCATTATGCTGAATAAAAGATCCCAGACAAAAACGTACATAAGTCGTTCTACATGGTCCCATTAGCGTGGCTTTGAACATGGTTATGAGGTTGAGGAAGGCAGCTGATAAAGACAACGTTTAAGGGATTGTAGCTCCATTCTCTTTCTTGGCTATTCAGTTCACATCCTGTAAATGTTTATCAAATCTGACATTTTAAAGTGTGAGTTTACAGGAACAATTATACCCCGTTAAAATGAAAGCAGGAGAAAAACCACACAAGTCCATGGTTTAGAGAATTCATGACACTTACTGATCTCAACTGGTCAAAGAAAATGGAAAAACAAAATCAGGTATGTTCTACAACAGTGAAGACAGACTGAAGAGCAATGATGAGGGGCACAGAGCGAAGAGTAGGAAGGACCACTCTGGAAAAGCTTAACTCAGCCCAAGGAAGGCAGGCGGCAGAGCATCCTGTGGCTCAGACACTGCCAGGAGCCTGGAGAATGGGGAATGTCAGTCTCCTAGGCAATCCTAGGCAATCCAGCATACAGGTCTGCAACTTAGGAGGAGAAAAAAGTTACTAGTGGTGTCAAGGGCACCATAGGAGCTGCAGGAGGACTAAGAGACAGGACGTCAACACTGCAATGGGCTGCAGAGAGAAGAGATCTTGCTAAAGAAACCGAAGAGTGGGCAAAAGAAAAACAGAATAAAAAAAGGATCCCAAATTCAAGAGTTCAAAAAAAGGAGAGAGGAATTAATGTCAGATGCTGCAAAGATCAGGTAGTGGGAAAGAACTAAAGTTTACACAGCAGGAGGAGTCTTTTTGACTATAGCAAGAGCGATTTCTCAGGTATAGTGGTAGTATATTTACATTTTTAATGGTGTTTAAAAAACATGAGACATTTTTTCAAAACTTGGTAGTTAAAGAAATGGGAAAAAAAACGAGTAAAAGAAAACTATTTTAAGGGCAATTTAACATTCTTATGCTCAAAAGAGCCAGGAGAAAAGATGGCAAAGACATAGTAACTGACTAAGGAGATGAGAATACATGAAAGACAAAACCAGACCAATTAAATTTAGAAAGACAGAACCTTTTCTCCTAAAACATGACAGCTGGGGTCAGACACATGAACATGCGTGACCTCCCTGAACTACAGACAGAAGACAGCAGCTGGGGTCAGACACACGGACACAGGTGACCTCCCCTGGACTGACAAACTCAGAACACAGCACCAGGGCACAGAGTTAGTAACGTCCATTCTTTCTGAGAGGGAAAGACAGGCCATCTGAACGAGCAAAGGGACAGATGAGGAAGCTAAAGTGAAGGTGACCAGATGGGAGGCCTAGAACCCCCAACTCCAGCTTCAGAGGGGTCGCCGAGTTAGCAAGTTTTCTCTGACAACGCTTAAGCAGAAACAGTAGAAGGAGATTGTTTGCTGGCTCAAATGATCACCACTGTGTAACTAGAAAGCAAAGAAATATGGGCTTCTGAGGGGCGGACAATGGGATGGAGCCTAGTCAAGAATCAACAGGAAAGATGATGTAGAGACAGACAAGCAAGAGGCTGAGGAAGTTAAAAAGATTCAGGACGGTTGCTGAAACTTGGGGTAAACAGAAAAGTCATGCTCCCGTTTAAACACACAGGTTTTACTAAATTTTTTTTTTTTTTTGAGGATAAGTTCGGAGATGCTTTTAAGTAACTGAATGGTCAGATTTTTAACTGGCAGCTCATTGAAACGGTTTCAAGCAGAGCATCTAGCTATGGCCTGTCAGAATTACCGCGGCACTTTAAGGCCCCTCTAACATGCAAAATGATAAAGAAACGGAGCAGAGGTAAAGAAGTAAAATCCTTAGCCGTTCTAAGTCATTAAAACTATTTCATTAAATAGTCAGTCATTAAAACTATTTCAAAATAGCTTTGAATCTATTAGCAATTAAGCGTTAGGAAGTACGGTCCTATCAAGGTCTGGTCTGGGGGAAACCTCTTACCTCTACTTTTTCTTGTTCTTCCAGTGCTAAAAACACAGCCGCTCTGAGTTCAGCCTTGAAGAGAAACACACACAACACACGCGTACACAGAATTATTCACGTCAGTTTCCCCACCGTCTAAATGACAAGGCCAGGAGCGAGGGCGCCCGCCGCCGGACCGGCGCGGGGAGGTCACGGGCGGCTCGGCGCTCCACGCCCCCGGCCCACGGTCTCGGGCCCAGGCCCCACGGCCTGCGCGCCCCGCGCCAGCCGCCTCGCGCCAGCAGCCTCCCGCGCCCGGGCAAGCCGCGCGGTCCGGTCGGCCAGCCTGCCCCGCCCCCGCCAGGCTGAAGCCCGGCCTCCCTCCCGCCGCACCTTGATGCGGTTCAGGACGCCGCTGTTCTCCAGCGTCTGCACCAGCAGGTCCCGCAGCTCCGTGTCCTCCTCCGCCACCACCGCGGCCGTCGTCGCCGCCATCTTGGTTCTCCAAGACAACCACCCAAGCCGCGCTAACGGCCAACGGCGGCCGCGCGCGCCCTTGCCGGCGAGCGAGCGCGCAGTCGCGACCCCGCCCCTCACGCCGGGAGGAGACCTAAGTGGGTGGGGCCTCCGGGCATCGTGATGTAGGAGGCGGGGTCTCTGGGTGTCACGACGCGAGGGGCGGGGCCTATTGAAGGTGGGGCACCCGAGAGCAGACGTTTGTGGGCGGGACCACGGGGCGGGGCGGGGCCGGATTTAGCGATGTTCTCTGCGGCTTCTTAACAGAACTGTATTAGGAACGTCATTAAATTGCACTTAATTTCCCGGTTCCGGCGAGAGGAAGAGTCCACCGGGACTGAACCTACCGGCCCAAACCTCCAACTTAGAGGGCGATAGGGAGGCAAGAGCCCTGGGTGGGAGGAGCGAAACAAGCCTCGGGGCGGGGCTAAGACTCCTGGTGGGCGGGGTAAAGTGTGGGGCGGGGCTTGCCCGGGACGCCTCACCTCCCGGGTGGTGGTTGCGCCCAAGAATGAGCAGCGCGCGCGTGTGTGTTCTGTTTTTGTCTCTGTGTACGTGTATACACAGGAGTCCGTTTTGCTGGGCGGCAGGGAGGGCTGTCTCTGGTACTTTTTGCTCTTGTGAGTTGTTTTGAAACAGCAATAGGCCAGGAATGGAAACTCCATGCTGCGTTGTACGTGGAAGCTTTGAACTTCACAGAGATTCCGGTACCGGTTGGTAATAATTTGGATTCATTCCCAGCCATACAGTGGCCTGGACATTATGAATGCAGATTCACCTAAGTATAAAGTTAAACGCCATCTATGTAGCTTTTCAGTTTATGAGAGTTGTTTTGTTTTGTTTTCCTGCATTTTCTGAGAAAGGAGTCATTGAGAGTTTAGTTTTTAAAACTGGCCTTAAGGAGAACAGTTAGAGGTTAGAAGGGTCACAGCTAATACAAAGGACGCGGTAAGAGAGCTCTGGCAGGCTTTGCCTTTCTTTCCCATTCTCTCTGCCTTGTTTAAGAACAGGAGATTACATTCCTAAAGCTAGCCACTAAGGTCTTTTCCCTTGTTTGGCCACCAAGGTGCCCCTATCAAAGTATTGAAGTCCAGCAATCAAAGCCCCCTTTTAACAATGCCAATTAAAATTAAACACCTCATCCTAACACTGAGTTTCCCCTTTTACCTTTTAAACTATCATTTTCCTATGGACCACATCTCTCTCTCCTCTGTCTCCTTTGTTCCTCTGGGCCAAATACCCTGCTCCCTTTCCCTTGTTCCTTTCCCCTTTTCCCTGTCCTCTGTCCCTCTGGGGTAAATAAATCTCCTTTGTGTTGAGGCTTAGTCTTGAGGTCCTGAGCTAATATGGATCCTTTTACAAAGAATATTTCCACCTGCCAGTCGGATTACAATCAGGACACATGAAAAAGTGGGGTTAATAGATCTGGACAAACTAAGAAGAGTCCTTGGAGTGTGCCAAGGGAAGAATGAAGGGGAGAGTGCTCCAGACAAGGGAAAATAGCAGTCCGTGCTTAGCGTGGCCCATGTGCAGTGAAAGCAGCATTGGTGTGGCCGGCAGAGAAGGGACTCGGAGGAGCTGCTCTGACGCAGATATGACATGTTAGTTTGGAGAAGAAAGGGTTGCGACATCAGCCATCAAGATTTGGATATCAGGAAGGTTTGCAATGCGTTTAATCAGTACTTTTGAGTGTCTACTGAGTTCTAGACCCTAAATTAAGTAGCTTGGAAGTGGTCAAAGCCTATTTCCCACAGCCAAGCAGCCATCAGTGCAGGAACTCAGGTAACAACCTTACAGCAGTCTGAAGCAGTGAGGCGCCATAGGGAGGACAGGAGAAAGTACAGCTACAGAGCCAGGAGGGTGGCTGCAGGCACTTCAGACTCAAAAACCGGGACCTCCCGTGTGATTACATTTGAAGATGGCACCTGCATGGACTAGTAAGGGTTGGGTGAGGTCATAATCAGTGGACCAGTGTCCCAAACTCACGACACTATAATCCACAGAAGGGCGCTCACCAGGAACTGAAGACACTGGCAGATCGTGCTGAATTTCCTCCAGAGGACTAAGATCAGGCAGCATTGTTGAGTGCACAGGTGTCTGTGGTATTTTGTTACAGCAGGCGGAGCTGCCAAAGCCAGATGGTTTCCCCAAGGAGCTGGTGCAGAACAGATTTGCCGGAAGGCTTGCTGGTGAGTGAGGAGGAACCGGCACTCCAGACAGAAGGACTAGCCAGAGTGCCCAGTCAGGACCAAAGGGCAGGTTACTCTGTATAGGGGAATATATATGAATGTGTGAATACACACGGACCTACACCACAGGCACTGCATGTATGTGGTGCACATACATAGATGTAGGTAAAATGCCCATACACATAAAATAAAAATAAACTCTCCCCTCAAATGTAAGAAAACAAATCTTAAAGTTACCAAGTGCCACCCAATTAGAGAAAGCACTATGCTGTACTTAGGCTACCAAAATTTAAACTACCTCACAGACTGGGTGCCCATGGCCATAAAACTAGCCTGTGTAAGGCTGGGTTTCATGCCTGTAGTCTGATGGCAATTAGGAGAACCAGGAGTTCAAGCTTACCCATGGTTACATACAGATCTGAGGACAACGTGAGTACATGAGACTTGTCTCGAAAACAACTCCACATATTGAAAAAGCCATGTATAACTTGGTTCCTACAAGACCAAACAGGATCAAGCCGGGAAAAGCATCTTCCCCGCTTCCACTTGAGTTCTCTTGGACTAGCATATGTTGTTTGAAATCGAGGAGGCCATCTTTCAGTCTGGATACAGGAAGACTAGCCCTTTTTCATCAGAAAGGTCTGGGAGGATCAGGCAGGTAGAGAATGTTCTCTGTGGCCCGTGAGGCTCCCCGAAGGTTTACAGATTGTGCGTGTGATGTAGCCTGCTGGGGAGAGAGGTGAACTCACTCTTCCCCTGTTAGAATATTCTACAGAGTGTACTGAAATTGCTTAGTTCGTTATCTGTGCAAAGATTTGCCATGAGGTCATAGATAGTGTGCACACATTGGACTACCTATTTGTAGTAAGAGGCTGCTTGTTTGTTCCCAGATGCTCAGCCTTGAAATAATCACACAGAAACCATATTATTTGTAATACTGTTTGGCCAATAGTGTAAGTGTATTTCTGGCTAACTCATCATGTATTTCATATCTTAACCCATCCCCATTAATCTGTGTATCACCACAAGGTCATAGCTTACCAGGTAAAGTTCCTGTGTCTGTCTCTGGTGGGGCTACATGGCTTCTCATTGACTCTACCTTCTTTCTCCCAGCATTCAGTTTAGTTTTCCTCACCTACCTAAGTTCTGCCTTGCTCAGGCCTAATACAGTTTTTAAAAATTAACTAATGATATCCACAGCAAACGGAACCCCACAACACTCAGTTTCTCATTTGCAGATGGGAATAGAGTCCAGCATCTCTGTGTATGCATATGGATGTGCATTTTGTCATTTGTCAGAGACAAGCTTCAACAAAAATAACACTTACCAGGGTAGGGGCATGGGGATTAGAAAAATAGTAAAGAGAACAAGACATGAATGAAATTATTATTTCAGACATATTAATTTTAACAAAAACAAACAATTTTTTTATATTTATTTGTTTATTATGTATACAGTATTCTGTCTGTGTGTATGCCTGAAGGCCAGAAGAGGGCGCCAGACCTCTTTACAGATGGTTGTGAGCCACCATGTGGTTGCTGGGTATTGAACTCAGGACCTTTGGAAGAGCAGGCAATGCTCTTAACCACTGAGCCATCTCTCCAGCTCCCAAAACAAACAATTATTAACAGAAACAATTATTATTAACAAAACATGGCATAGTACCAGGAGGGAGTTCCAGTGAATACTGAATCCGCCCACATTTAATTTTTTATACACTTTTATATTCCAATACAGCAGGGAGGGGGGAAGGAGACACAAGACTACTTTAACACGACACAAAGGACAGCTCGAACAGTTATTTGCTTCAATACTTTGAGACATCAAATCATTAGCATTCTGTTGTTTAGGCAGTGAATCCACCCTAGACCAAGTATCCTGAAGGGAGCCACTCCTAAGGTCAAACCTCCTACTTCAAAAAAAGGAGCAGAAGTATGCTTGAATATCCTGACCATTGGTCAGGGTGGAGCGGATCTACTGATATGGGCCATCCTAATGTCAAAAAGACCAAGTAACTACACCCTGGGTCAGGGTGTGTAGCCGTGTTTCTTGTCAACAGCTTTGAACAAGCTAAAACTCTCTGCCCTTCAGATAAGGTGGAAATAGGCTCACATTTTTGGGCCTCCACAGTTTTTGGTAAATAGCATTCAATGTCTGAAACAGATACACTAGACTATTTAGAATTATTCAGTTTGAGCACACAGCCCCATCTCACTCTCTTTGGAAATACCTTGGATGCTGTGAGTAAGTTGCTTGCTTTTTGTTTTCTTGCTAGCTTCATGCCCAGAGAAGACCTAAAACCCAGGAAAGATGAGTGGTTTGCCCCTCGTGCACAGCCAAGATTAACTGCAAGCTTATTTGGGTCCCTGCTCTTGCCGTGATATCTTACTTTCTTCCAGTGTTATGGAATGCAGTTATCCGACTTTGTCTTCTGTGGCTTCATCTGAGTAATTCATAAAGAACAGGATTTATTTAGCTCGCGTTTGTCCAGGCTGTGACCTCTGGTGAGGCACTGACAGCAAGTGTGCTAGCCCAGACCTTTGTTTTCCTAAAGCCACTAATGCAGCACAGGGCCCCTCCTCTTAGTCCTAGCCTCCTACTGAGGGATCCTGGGGTTCACTTTTTAACACATGAACTTATTGGGAACCTTTAAGCCACAGTAGTAATTTGATTAAATAAAATAATAATAATAAGATAGGGGAAATAAAAGCTGAATAAAGGAAATGTGGAATGAAAGACGAGTGGGCCATCCCAAGACAGTTTCATACCCATAACCACCAGGGGGCAGTGTGCAGCAGAGCAAGAAGAGGGCTTTTTTCTTTTTCTTTTTTTTATTATTATTACCTGTTCAAAGAT